GAGAATTACTGCTTCTTCTCTGTGGCTCTAATTTTCCATTCTCACTGCAGAAGAGGAATGAAGAAGTAACCTGTCTGTAGACGGCGTATCAGCAGTGCCTGGGCACCTTTCCTGCAGCAGCTTTCAATGTGTCCTTTCTGATTTGTTGACAGAGAGACCCCCTGAGGGCTTTGTGTCCTGAGACTGGGAACTGTCTCCACACAGAGAGACACAGCACAGTGCAGATACCTGTGTGCTGAGCTCAGGCTCTGCCCCCCACAGACACATGCTGTCCCCACGTAGGCCTCCCTTCAGACAGGACACATGGCCCACATGGGAGGACCTGTCCCCCAGGACCTCTGTCTCACAGAGTGTCTCTCCTGCTTGCAGCACATGAACCTCTTGTTCCTCATTTACTCAGGTGAACATTGAAACACCTGAACATCACCTGCTGTCATCTACTGTCCTAGTTACACTAAATCTATTTTAGTCATGTGTCCTCTGTGCTGGAGTTTCCCTTACTCTCCCAACCGTCCCCAAGTACCAGTCACAGTAGTGGGATTAAGCAAATACACGGGCATTCACCTGCCTTCACTTCATGTCGTAAAGTTCATCTAACATGTCTGTCCATTTGTGGACGCTCAAGGCAGGTGGACATGCTGAGCCCACATGTCATGAACAGATATGATTCAAACTCACACAGCATTAATGTAGAACAGGACATTCAGTGGACCCATAGCTTGCTGCTGACGCCTGGCCACCACTGGCAAGTTAGGAACTGAATGACAGAAGTCATCCTGATAGACTCACCTGGACAGAGCACCGTGTTGGACACTCATGTGTAGCCGTGGTGATTCCAACCTCAGGGATCACAGCTGCTGTGCTCGTCACTCATGTTGTCCCTCGGAACAGCCCCCCCCCATTCAATCAGATATGTGCGACATAAAGTTCTGGTAAACACTCAAAGCAGGACTGAGACAGTACCCAAAACTGGAAGTCTGTTTAGAAGACAAAGTTTTAAAATAACGGAAGCACATGAGAGATGGGTACTGAACAAGTTGGGTAAAGAATAGAATGATTATAAATTATTCTCAGTCCAAGCGTTTAAAATACTTTTTCTTACTTTTCCTTGTTTTACTCACTTTCTCTGACAGTATTAATGGGATTGTACACTTGAACGTTGACCATATAATAAAATTGCTTACATTGAATCAACTAGCTAGACTAATGTTTGCATTTCCAATAATTGTAAATGCTGCAAAGTGTTCTCATCATCTGTGCTCATATTCCTTACCTTCCTCCAGCAAAACGGTGACCTGACATGTGAGTCTTTCTACCTAAAATCATTGATGGGAGGAAAGGAAACTTGGTCACGTGCCTGCATCACGCAGCCTGTGTGGCTCAGAGCGATGGTTAAGGCACATGTCACCTCCTGAACCAGGACATCCGATGGGATTAGCACAGCTTGGTATGACAATAAAAAAAAATTGCACTTTCTTTTTGCGCAATTATGCCAAAAATGGGTTCATCATTTATTGGCTTTCAATGGAACAGAAGGCAAAAACAGGAATTCTGCTTTATTTAGAAGAGTATGCTGTATTCTCATTGTTGCTACATTCTTAAATTTTAACTGGAGACCCCTCCTATGATTCTGCACTGGGCCCTGGCACTGCACAGTCTGTCTGCTGTTGTGCCTTCAGACCCCGTGACAGTCATTGTTGTAAATCCTTCCCACATCCGGGAATGCTCCCTGTAAGAGGGTAGCTGCAGGCGGTGTGACCGGAGTGGTGAGGGTTCAGGTGAGGGACCCCGGGTGTTTGGACTTCTCTCTGGTTCCTGGTCTGTAGAGCAAGGAACACTTTGACCTTTCCACAGACGTGGCCTCCTCTTTAGTCTGAAGAGCATTTCTCTGCCCAGGCCCCATGGGGTGGCCCAGCACCCCTAATCCAACTGAAAAAGATTGATCACTCCACCCTGTAGGCCACTCACCTCTTTAGATCTACTTAGAGAAGTGAGTCTCTCTAGTGCACCCACATTGTGTCCTGGATAAAGGACGATTTATCTCCTTTATCAAACAGAACTGAATCATATAGGGGGAAGAAGAATTCACACCCTAGACCAGGAGTCTATAGGAATCCCCATTCAGCACTGAGGGGACAGCCCCTGACCGCACATTAAAGCCTCAGCCTGAGCTAAATCCCAGAGGGGAGCTGAACACAGAGTTCGGGAGGAAGTGGGTGCTCATACCTGGTGTGCTCAGGGCTCTGAACAAGGAGCACTTTGAGGTTTTGTCTCTCTGTCCCAGCCCTGTCCCCATGGTTCACAGTAGAGGATGAAGAATGCGATGCTTTTGCTGTATGAAATGAGGACAGAACAGGGCAAGCTGCTGCTGTTGAGAATGCAAAAGGGCACCAGGTTCTCCAACGGCCACCTCCAGACTGAGCGAGTGGTGACACATGAAAGAAAACCTTTCAGATTTGACTGAGTAGTGCTCAGTCACTGCTGATAAGTGTCTGAGATCTGCCTGCTGCCTTGACGGTGACAGCGAAGATGAAGACCTCAAGGCGCTGGCTGATTCCAATCCTGGCGAAAGCTCTGTGCTGGCTGAGCTGTGACATCGTTTGTACTGAGTCCTTCGGTGATGGAGAGAACTCCCTGCCCTTTCCACAACGCTCCAGTCTTAGTGGGGCGGGACCTCCACACTGTGACCTCACTTAACCTTTCCTGCCTCCTCCAAGCCTGATTCTAAATCAGTCATTGCAAATGTAGACTCCAGCTTATGAATTTTTGAGAAACCCAATTCGGTCCATACTATTCCACCTGTGGACCTCCAAAGTTCATGTGTTTCTCTCAAGCAAATTACACTAACTGTAACCCAACAGCTTTAAATGTCTTGCTCATTACAGCACCAACTCCAAAGTCTAAGGTCCAAACGCTCATCTTAATACCATTTCATCAGTTATTGGTGGAACTGGTGAATGGTTCATTCTGAGGTGAATGTCCTCTGAAGCTGTGAACCTTCGAAACAATACAAGTTATGTGCTCCGAAAATATGACGGTGGGGCAGGCACAGGTAAGAGAATTGCATTCTGAAAGGGACAGAGAGGAAAGAAAATCTGTAAATCAATTATTGTGACACC